ACGAGGACAGGCTGAGAGAGCTGGGCCTGTTTAGCCTAGAAAAGAGAGGACTGAGGGGAGACCTCATCAGTGTATATAAATATCTGAGGGGAGGGTGTCAAGAGGATGGAGCTAGTCTCTTTCCAATTGTGCCCACCGACAGGATAAGAGGCAACAGACACAAAGTGAAGCACAGGAAATTCCAGCTGAATATGAGAGGGCACTTCTTTACTGTGAGAGTGAAAGCACTGGAACAGGTTGCCCAGAGAGGTTGTGGAGTCTCCTTCTCTGGAAATATTGAAAACCTGTCTGGATGCCATCCTGAACAATGTGCTCTAGGTGTTCCTGCTCAGCAGGGGCATTGGACTTCAGAGATCACTTCCACCTCCGGCCATTTTGTGATTCTGTGATTTATAATGCTGCTTTGGATCAACTATCATATTGGGCAAGAGGAAGTGAAACTGGTGATTAGGGTGACAAGTGCTTGGGACATATAAAGAAGGCGTTAGAGTTGACAATTACATCTGCAGCAACAAAGAACATTACAACATAAAATGGAGAGGATATATCCCTTTCCTAAGAGAGTGCATGGAAGCATTCATCCCCTCACAGAAGGATCAATAAGCATCCCTTGTACCAGCATCAATCATCGCACAGACAATACTGAGATGCTGACAGAAGAAAGAATGAAGGAGAAGAGTAACACAGGAGAGAGAAGGAAGGGGAAATTCAGAAACAGTGTCTTGGTTAAATGGCAGCTGCAGTGCTTTAAAAATAATTAAATAAATAAATAGAGAGCAACAGAAGAGACCAGGCTAAGAGGAGTTTTGACCTTCAGAGGACAAAATGACATTCTTTAATTGCTCAGGTTTTCAGAATGAGGTGTCTGCCTCCAGTACAATGAAGATTAATCTTCATGGAACAGTTTGTATGATGAGTTGTTAGATGTCAGGAAGTACAATTTCAGATGAAGCAGCTGATAGAATCAAATCAGTATTTCAAGCAAACAAGGGGAGTGAAATGTATTTACTGTGAGTTAAAGTGATCCAGATTATTACACTGATGTCAGAGCTTTCAAAACTCTATTATGGAGACATGTGACAGGCAAAAACCATAATAGCTTCTTTGCTATTGTTCCTTTAGGGATAACAGCATGAGTTGTTATTAACTGGCTTCCTTTTCCTTTTCAGATTGCTGTGGGATTCTGGTTTAGTTTTCAAAAGATCTGGGGAGGTAAAAGTGGCTTTAATTGGTGTGGGCAGGGAATGAATGGTAAGGCACAGTATTCTGGAATTAAGTTGCAGGTGTTCTGCCAAAGTCTTGACAGATATGCAAAGTGAGTCTCTTGTGAGTATCAAGAAAGACACACATGCACCTGAGAGCTATATTTGTGCTGCAGGAAGCTACCCCTCTTAAAATAGGTGCTGAAGAAATACTACTGTAACAAGACCCAATGTGAGTGCTCTTAGAATCACAGAATATCCTGAGTCAGAAGGGACCCACAAAGATCATTGAGTCCAACTCCTAGCTCCACACAAGAATACATAAAAAATAGAACATATGTTTGGCAACATACTGCCCAAACGAACACTGGCAGAGGCTCCCTGGGGAGCCTGCTGCAGTGCCTGACCAACCTCTCAGTGCAGAGCCTTTTCCTAAGCCCCAGCCTGACCCTCCCCTGTCCCAGCTCCATGCCGTTCCCTCAGGTCCTGTCTCTGTCCCCAGAGAGCAGAGCTCAGCGCCTGCCCCTCCACTCCCCTCATGAGGAAGCTGCAGGCCGCCATGAGGCCTCCCCTCAGCCTGCTCTGCTCTGGGCTGAACAATCCAAGTGACCTCAGCTGCTCCTCATATGTCTTGCTCTCTAGATGCTTCACCATGTCCATAGTCCTCCTTTGGATGCTGATAGTTTTATGTCCTTCTTACGTTGGGGCACCCGTAACTGCACACAGTAGCGAAGGTGAGGATGCACCAGTGCAGAGCAGAGCAGGACAATCCCTTCCTTCAACCAGCTAGCAGTGCTGTGCCTGATGCACCCCAGAATGTGCTTGGCCCTTTTTTCTGCCAGGGCACACTGCTGACTCCTATTCAACTTGCCATCAAACACAGCCCTCAGATGCCTTTCCATGAGGCTGCTCTCTGGTCTCTCATGCCCCAGTCTGTACATATACCCAGAGTTGCCCCATCCCAGGTACAGAATCTGGCAGTTACTCTTGTAAAACTTGTTACTGTTTGTGATCGTCAAGCCCTCTAATTTGTTGAGTGCTCTCTGCAAGGTCTCTCTACTTTCAAGGAAGTCAACAACTCCTCCTAAATTAATATCAAACTCATTGTATTTTGCTAGTGTACAAATATTATCTGCGTTTTAATTTTTGATTCAGACTGGCAAAATTTCAATCATTAACTTGTCATGGTGATTTATTTTGGACAGCAAAACTCTTTCTCCTCAACCCACCCTGCCTATTATAGAATCCTAGGTAAAGAATGGGTGTTACTTCTTATGCCTCATCACTCCCCTCTTCCTCCTCTAACCAAATAACTTCTAGTGGCAATGCTCTATGAAAAGGTTTGCTAGTGAGGACTGAGGCGGCGTGCTTATTCCACAGATGTGTTTAGTAAATGATAGGGACAGGCAGGCAGTGATCTATAGACTTCCCATCAGAAAACCATTTAATATGTATCCAATTATCTATGTCAGAAATACAATTAAAATGGCTATCTGCTCTTCTTAAAAGGAACATTTATGTGATTTTCCAGCTTCCTTCCTCAAAAACTGAAGTTGTGCAGTCCCCTAGTATAATGATTCAGCTTGATGTCTGACTACATCTCAGTTCCCAGAGGAGATACAAGCATCTTGCCGTAAGTCACAGGGAAGCTGGGATCTTAGTTCCATGCTCAGTGAACCACAGGGATTTTCCATTTTTCTGCTTCATGGAATTCAAGGAGCTCATATTTTAAACAGTTTGATTTCTGACTGTTTAGAGAGTGCTTCTCTCTCCATACAGGATTTTCTTCAGTCATAGTTAGCATTAGCTAGGAGTCTTCAAATCAAGATCAGCCTCCTGTAAACTTATTAGTCCAACCTTTAGGTTAGACAATTCTGATAGGACACATTAGGATTTATGTCCAGAAAAACAGGCTGATGACTATCAGTGTATGCTGTGAGTTGTGTGCCTTACCCAGGGCTTTCCTAATACCTGCAGAGGGTAATGTGAGATTTCTTTTCTGATTTTCTTCTTGTAGGCTGATGGGATATTATTTGCTTTCTGATATTTTAATGTGAAAACAGTAATACAAAATAATCATTGAGACAGGTAAAGGAGGGCAGACAGGAAAAACAACCTCATGAACAGAGTCAGGGAAGAATACTCTAGCCAAGCTATGTTATACTGTCAAGCTGACTATACACGAATTTGAAAAAAATACAAAAGGATCCCCCTGAAGATAGTCTGCCAATGTCTGAAAAGAACCATTTTAACTTTTGGTGTGCAAACATCTACTTTTTGAATGAAAACCTCTTAAGCACATGATCAGCAAGTGATCAAATGCATGTGTAGTCTAATACCAAGTTTCAAAGCAGCAAGATCATTATCTGGACATTTTCTTTTTAAAATGTTACCATAATGGTTTTGGAGGTGACAAATAAACACTTATTTACAGTTGCAGTGACAACAGTGTAAAAGGTTGTACATCTCTTGTCAGACCACATAAATAAGTCTTAAGGACTATTTAATTAATACTAAATAAACAAACTTTATGTCTGTAGTGAGGTTGGATGAGAATAGTCGTCCTCAGCTGGAAAGGCATAGGAAGAACCACCAAAGGAACCAGATCATTTCCAACAGGGTTGGAAACATCTATCCAACATGGCCCTAAGGATACTCAAGGTCAAACTCTCAACTTAAACACGAAAGAAATTCTTCTCCAGTGAGCCATAATACTCTTCTTGTTATTATTCCTCTCAGTCCAGAGATGAAGGCTTAGATTGCTTTAATTATGGCTCAAATGTACTAACAAACTTCAGAAAAGTCTATCAGGACCTGCATTAAAATTCAAGCCATTTCAGTTCTTTTGTTGGAAGGAGAGCAGATGAACTGAGAGAAGAATAAGGAGGGGTGGAACTGGAGGGGTGAAAGTGAAACAGTTTAACTATCTTCCAACAGTAAGATAAGCAAACCAATTAAAAGGAGTGTCATCCTGTAATTACCAGAGCACTCTATATTACAGAGGGAACTGAAGCTTTGTTACACAACAAACAGTCATGCTTGTAATTTAATATGAATAATGAGCCAGATGCATGAACAAGACTCTATTAAATTGTTATCACAAGCAGACGTGTCCCTCATTGATTAATGACTGTGTGTCACCAAGGAAAGGAACTCCATTTCTAAGCATGGATCATCATCATCAGTGTTGCCAACGCAACTGTCTGTCTGCTTTTGACTTACCCCTGAATGTGGCAATTAAACCATTACATGAGGAAACAAAACAGTGATTATTTTCTTATGTGCAAAACTGAAGGCTCTTAAAGAGTAAGGGAAACCAGATTTGCTTCTCAAGATAAATGCACCTGCGCTAAAACCATGTTCAAGATCAGATTGCCCTTGCAATATGAACTTAATCATGGTCGCTCGTTCAGTTTCAAATTTGGTGCTAATCATAAAACCTTAATAAGTTTCATATGCTAGGAGAAACCCAGTAGAATCAACAGAGACACACAAATAAAATAAAAGAGGTATGAAAAACACTTATTTTAGAGCAAATAAAATCAACTTGCAGAAGGAATAATTAAGTAAGAAAACACCTGAATTCTCTGCGTATGCCCTTTATACAGGCAGTATTTATATAGACAGAATGTATATATGCATATACACAGATCTATAGATGAACGTATAGTACATATATGGCTCATTCAAAATATGTACTTGACCCTGGTTTGCTTTTGTTTTGTTGTTAATGCTAATATAAGATCTATACGGAATGTTCTACCAAAAGCAGCTACAACCTGGCTTCTTCCAACTTACAAGCTTCACGCAGTTTTTCCTTGTCGTAAAGTAGTCCCTCATATTCTTGCAAATTAATCCGGTTCACTCTGATCCGCAGGCGATCTGGGATGGAATGAGGACTGTAAGAAAAGAAGAAAACTTCTTAGACAAGGTTTTCCATGGAAGAATAAAGAGAAAAATAAGATATGAAGAGATTTTAATCTTCTGTGAAAGAAGAATAAGAGCAAGCCTCCTCTAAACTGGGCCAGCTCCTCCCAGGCCCATCACTGTGTTTGTACAAGATTAGGACTACCCACTGTACAAAATACCTGTTACATCCTAAATGACAAGCAAGATCAAGAAGCCCATTTACTGGCTGTGTGGTCTGGAATTGCACAGGCTTTTCTGAGCTCTTCAGTCTCTATATAAATAGCCCTCCCTGCTGCAATCTGCCTTTTTGTACATATCTACAGACCTATTAAAGTCAGTAAAGCTTTGATTCAGGATGCAGATGATTTCCTGGGACATCTCTCAGGACAATTATTTCTCTGTCCATGAGAACATCCACCCAGATCTTCAGAAGATCCTGTTTCAGCAGCTCTGTCCTGGGTAGCAGGCAACAAACATGTTGCCAAGAACTGGATTTCTAAAGTAGAGTCCCATACACAAATTACAAGGGGACTTTCAAAAAAAAAAAAAAAAAATGATACTTCTTTTCTACTGATTTAGATACCTCAGCTGCCTGCATACTTTTGAAATTGTCCATGGGTTCCCATCTATAAATTTAAGTGCCCATACGTTGACAGAAAGTTGTTCTGAAGAGCTTTGTTTTGTTTTCATATTTCATCTTGCTGTTACTACTTGATTTTTTTTAACCAAATGCTATGTAAATTAACTTCATCACATTTGCATTTTCCAATTCTAAAAAGAGAAAGATAGCTTGTGTATTATAATTCACATATCAAAAGTCTGTCCTGGCAGGTCTGTCCCATTTAAAAGTAGATTATTCATTCAGTGCTTCCACTGAAAGACTATTTTCACTATGTTTTATTTTAGTTGATGACAGAGCACCTAACATACACACAGCCTTTTAAAAGTTAGCATTCTGTGCACTGTCATAGACAGACTTACTGTTCCCTTTGTTTCAGTTTTAAAATATTTGACCTACAGCATTTGCACTGCTAGTTTAAATACCAATGAGCACCGTCCACATTTTTTTTCCTTTTTAAGCGAGACATTTTCTTTATGTCCTGAAAATACTGCATATCTAACACATAGTTTGGAACCATCTCTTGGTAAAGCCACTGAGATGGTAATTAGCAAATATTTCAGAGTTTTCTTAACTGCATACTTTTTGTCTGTCACTTATGGACAGCTCTGTCACACATGGACAGATGAAAGTAGAGATTAAAAATCAAATCCCAGTATAAAAAAAGCTCTACTGGCACAAGTACTCTCAGCCTAAAAAGTGATAAAGGATAATGAATTCAGGGTGCCTCAATAATTGAAGTGTAAGACAACATGTTACAAAGAGCTGCACTCCTTCTGTTATGAACAGGAATTTCTGTATTAAAAATGAAAATAACCCTAAGATACATGGAGAATAACTTAGAAATAAGTAATCCTTAATAGTAGCTGTAAGACTGATGCACCCAGTAGCACATAGGCTGCCCAATGTGTTTCCTTTGCTGAATGACGGGGACTGTTGCGTAAAGACATAGGCACACTGTTCATATTTAAGGTAAGCTTTTGCAGTTTGCTTGACAGACACCTGGGATGGTAACTTCCAGCAGAGCTTCAGGGGCAGGCTGCTAACTCAGGTGCCATTATATTATCCTACAGATCCACATTCTCCACCTGCAGACTCTAAAGCTGGCTCAGCAACCCAGGGAATATCATCACACACAAGCTGGAGGGAAAGGTACATAGATGGAAGAAAACTGTAATTGCAGTGAGTCTGACACTTCTTTTTTTTTTTCTCATAGATAACTTTATTGTCACATTGCTGGATCAGAAATGAACATAGTCTAAGGAACTGTGTTCCTTCCCTTCCAAATTATACAAAATGCAAGTCTCAAAAATAAAAATCATGGAGGGTTTTATTTTTAGCCAAGAAAAGATAATAAAATGTTTAAGTCAGGAAACACAGGAATTTAACTGCATAGTCTTTGTCTGAGGGGAAAAAAATGAATTCATTGCACTTAGGAGGGTTCATGAAAATGACAGACTGACAGCCTTGAAAAGTGAAATCTTTTATGCACTGGTACAACATGAGAAGAAGCTATGCTGCTACCACCACATATTATTATGACGGCAGCTCAGTCTTCCAGCAGATATGCTTATAACCTTGGGATTATCATTAGGTCTGGAGGAGTGACTGGTTATGAATCACCTCTTCTTTGAGCTCAGCTGGAAAGAAAGGGGATGGAGAGACAGGAGAACTCAACAATGTCTTATTTCTCCTGTAACATTCAACCATGCTATAAAGACAGACATCCTTGTTATGCCCTGAATTAAGCCAAGTGTAAACCCAAACCAAAAATTGTCTGTTTTGTCTGAAACCAGAACCAAATCTATATTATTCTTCTGAAGTCTGAACTACCCAAACTGGAATTGTATTGCACACACACACACACAATAAATAAATAAATAAAAACACTCTTTCCAATCCCCACTGAAAAATAAGCATTTTACCAAAAGCTCTTACCCAAGTAGGACTTGCTTAGCCCAGGACTGGTGATGTTTGCACTCTGAACCAGAATCATCTGTTCTCTACTCACCCTTTTCCATTTCTTCCTTGCTACACATCTCATTAGTGTGTAACGTTCAGGCCTCCCACTTCCACTCTGTGACCCCAGCACTGCTCTCCATACCAGAGGGAAAACACTTCAGTTTAATTCATAAGGTAAGCTGCAATTGCAACTCCTAAGAGATCACTTACTCCTTTTTCTCCTTGATTAATCCTTTTTGGTCACCCATAGGAGATATCTGACTGATATTTGTCCTTTTACCATATATTGTTTCCCACCAGACTGGTTCATCCAGCACCTGCTGGCATTCTTCACTGTAAAAGATGATTTTTTTTATGTTTTTTTTTGTGTCTCTGCAATGTCTATGTGGGATTTACTAAGGCTGTGAAGTCTTTAGTACTTTGTACTCAACATTTCACTTCCTCTCTTTTCACACACTGTGGCCTTTCTTGTGTTCCTTGGTGCACGGCAGGACAGGAATGTGTCAGATACAGGCAACTGCAGACAAGCTATGCTCTACTGTGAGAAATACTGGGTGAATTTCCTGGTACATCAGTGCACTGAATATCCCTGAATTAGCATCCATGATGAAGCAAGAACACTATCTTAAATGTAATGTATTACTTGAGGAGAAATAGCTCCTTTCCAGGTCAAGTGCAGGAGCATAATCAGCTGAAAAGTGTCATCAGGGTTTCCTATTTTCTTCTCCTGCTCACCACCTTTCTTCAAAGGCATGGAACATTAAGATACCACTACATAAATAAGTTGTATGTGTTAAAAGATACAACTGAACTTGCCATTTTGCCCATTTGAGAAATTCAGCTATTTTACTCATAAAAGCATAACCTCAGAAGCTACAGTTTCTAGAGAAAATTGGCTATTTTCAGAAACGTGAGAGCTCAGAGGCCCTTTCTGCGGGGTAGAGATTTTATATACTTAGTTAAGTCCAGACACAAACAATGCAGTCGCAACTCAAATACATATAAGTACATGTATGTGTATATATGCACAAATACATACACATGCAAAAACATTTATTCAGTGGCTTAAATCTGAACTTTTGGTTATGATTTATTTTCAAATACTCTTTGCTCTATTAGAATATAGTTGTTGGCTGACATTATACTTTCTTACGGAATTTTATAACCTATTTAAAATGGCTTTGCCTCTAAAAATTCACTTTGAATATTCACTCTTTGTGATATCTGACGTGTTAAGAGTATTGTCCTCATCAACTAAACAATTGACTCATTCAGTCACACAACTCATGAGCTGCATACAAAGCTCTCTTAAACACAGTTGAGCAAAACACTTCCACCATAAATACTTCTGTAATCACCACAGATACTGCATAATAATCCTTACTATTATACAAATTGCACTATTCCTTTTGTTTAGACATATTGAGCATATACAGAAACCACAAAGCTCAAGGACACAAGTGTATCTATGCAAAAACTAATAATGCAGTGCTGAATGTCACTGAAAGCAAATGTTGACATTGTATTAATAGAAATTGATGTTTCTAAATACTGCATATAACAACTTGCCCATGTGTAAGGACAGGAAGAAAAGCATTCCAGATAGAGCAGTAAAAAATTTATAAATAAATCTTCACAAACTGCTGCACTGCAATTCAACCTAGCATATTTAAATTTCTTGCACCTATTATTCTTCAAAATAGTGTATTACATAGTCAATGAAAAGTAATTTAAAGTACAGATGAATGAATTCCATTAGTTCCTATAGAACCTACTTAAGAACCTCATTCCCCAAGCAGGTCAATCCACAGAATTACATTCCAAAGGTCATATGCCCCACGGGACCATAAGTACAGATTCAGGTCAACTGAACCATTCTGTTCATTTGTGTTGATTAGCTATAATGGTTTCATTTAAATACAAGCCTAAATATCAAACTTCTCAAAGCAGGAGCATGGATAGGCTATTTTACCATATTGAATTTTATATGATGGACTTTTGATTAACGTGGACCAGAAGTGCACATTTGAGACATTATTTAATAATAATCCAAATGAGCCTTGTAGAAAAACCTACAAACATTAGTTCATTGAAACAAACTATAAATGATTGTATGCAGATGTTATGAAGTCTTCTCAAAATTACTTTAATTCACCCTCATCAAAAATTATGTAATTTCAGTAATAAAGAATTATTTTCTTTCCTTTTCTGGCTTGCAAAGTAGCTGTAAAGTACAAGGAAATAGTATTAGTTTCTATCAAACAAATAGGATTTCATTTTTCCACAATACAGAACATGACAGATATTGAATAATTCTTAATTTAAGGGAAATGGGATGTTTTCTGGGAACTCTTAAAACTTGTAGACAGTCATAAACATAGTTTAAAAAAATTAAATGTAAATAAAGCA